TTCCCATCGTGGAAATTGAGTCACTGAATACAAGTGTCAGAGTGTGCAGAGCCCAATTCTTCCGTGGGCAATAGCAGTCCTCATTGGATCGTGGATGAATAGATCACATCGGATCATGACATGTCGTTTGAGTGTTCCATCCGTTTGCTAATTCAAGAGCCATGAAGTAGTTTTTGTTTCACATTAGCAACTGCTGTTGACCCACTCAGGTTGCTACACCCACGATTCTTGAGCTCATTGTGGACTCAGGAGTGTCACTGAGTAGTTTGCGGCAAGTGGTTTGCATGGGGGAGCCACTCTCCTGGCGCTTGGCTGGCAAGATTTTGAAGCAACTTCCTTCGGTTCACCTCAAGAACTTTTATGGCTCTACAGAAACCGATACTCGACAAGGCAGAAAATCGTTCAAAGCTGTTTAAAGCATAAACTTGTGGCATCCAGAGCATCAGCCTGGTCGAGCTGTAAAGACCCAACAAGGTCTGTGATTTGTTTCACCAAGTAGCTGTATCATGCAACTGAGGAGAACACCATCTACAGGGTACCGCCGAATGGCAACTTCAGTCAAGAATCTGCTGTACCAGCAGGGCAGCCACAGCCTCATGTCTCCGTTCATTTGTTGAAAGTTGACTCCCTGGAGCTGTCTGATGCTGATGAGGATGAAGGTGAGATTTGCTTCGCCGGTGTGATGTCCTCGGGCTATTGGCAGCGGCCAGACCTCACGTCTGTGACCTTTGTGGATCATCCGCAGCTCGGTCGGCTCTACCGCACCGGTGACCTCGGTGCGTGGAAGAGAGGGCAGCTGCATGTCTCGGGTCGCATCGATCGACAGGTGAAGGTCCGGGGCTGTCGAGTGGAACTTCAGGAGTTGGAATTTGCCTTGAAGACCCTGAGCTCCGAAGCGTCTGATGGACTTGGAGGACTGCAGGAACTGCAGGAATGCTCTGCTGTGGTGGCAAGTGCACCGGCTTCACATTTGCAGATCGTGGTGTTCGTTTGCCCAGAGACTTTGGACCTTGATCTGATTCGTGAGCAGGCGACTACGCGGCTCTCGCCACAACTGATGCCAAGCCTCTTTACTGCTTTGCCACAGCTCCCACGCCTGGCCAATGGAAAAGTGGATTTGGTGAGCCTCAAGACTCTTGCTTCCAATTCTCTTGCAAAGCAAAGCACCGAGACGCATGCTGTTCTTGACTCCTTGGGCATTCTTCAGCACCTGACCAAGTCACAAATTGAAGAGGACAGGTGGATACAGAACCAGCAGGCCTTTTGGACTTTGTTGGTCATGATGGAACATTTTCACTTCACCCGTGGAGCCGCAAGAAGTGGACAAGCCTACGGCTATGGTGACTCTGACTTCGTGGCCCTCTTCATCCTGATTGATGTTTGCCATTGCAGGGACATGGTTGCATTCTTGCTCCTTCTTGGCTTTACTGACTCACGCATGAAGGGAAGCATCCACTCGTTAGGTCCTCGAGATGCGGCAGTCTTCATCACTGCACTCTTCATGACCCTGATCTTTGGACCAGTGCATCGGGCTGTGCTCACAGATTGGGACACCTTCCCTCAAGTTCGAGTGGGTCCCGAGTGGTTTCTCTACACCTACTTTTGGGCGCGCGTGGTGTTGCTGGGGCTTTGTCATGTTGCTCGACCTGGCCTGTGGCAAGCAATGTTCATGTTCTTGATGGCCTTGTGTCCAGATGATCTCTTTTGGCTGCAGCTCCCTATGTCATTGCGTGCTTCGCTTGAGGACAACGTCCCATTGGACACGAAAAGCCTGAAGTTCACAGGATTCTTTCTACCTGCTTGCTACCTACTCTCCTTTTATGCCTCCCAGGCTGGGATTGTCACTTGGTGTAAACGATCCGGACAGCGTCTTATGCAAAGGGTGGTAGAGGTCACTTCGCTGTTGGAGTGGAAGCTGGAGCTGAGCTTCTCTTTGGCGTGCTTTTCGCAATGGCTTGTCCTTTCATTGCTGTGTGGAAGGTGGCCCAAATGGAATATGATCCCCTTTGCCTATCAAGATGGATATCAAGCGGTTTTTGTGGAAGTGGGAGACCACACAGTGTCTTGGGACTATATGACCAATCCTTCGTTATTGCTTTACTTGGCCATTTGGATCGGGGAAGCTTTGCTCCTTCTTTTGCCGGGCATGTTCATTGCTTTGGGAATGGTCTACCTTCCATGGCACTTCAAAACGATGGGTACCGCTTCCTTCGGCATCTACGTGATTCACGTCCCAATTGCATATACTCCATGGATCAGACATTTTGAGGCTCCAATACTGCAGCGAATCACCGACCCTGCTTGGAACGGAGGGATCAACCTCCTCATTGTTCTTGCTTGGAATGCCTTGTTTTGCATCATTTTCGCTCACTCCATTGGTGCGAAATTTCATCAATTGCTCGTCTCAACATTGGCGAAAATCGCTCAACTGCAAAACGTTTTACAGCAGAAGGCGACGCACAAAGATATCGACTCTGTTCCTGAATGCGTCTAACGACACTTTTGAAACGACGCCTGGAAAGAAAAACAACAAATATATTTTTATTTTTTAATCAACAAATCCTGCCTCTTATAACATGGTAGGGTTTAAATTCATATTTGTCTAATATAGAATCACATTTCGATTTTAAAATATGACAAAATTATATGGTTAAATAGATATATATATATATGGGAGTTATCTAAAAGGTCCTTGTAAGGCTTCTTAATGTCGAGAGCCTTGGATGATATGATCATGGGTCTTGGGATTTTTTTTTGAATTCGCGAATATTATTTTTTTTCCGCGAAAGATTCGCGAAAATATGATTTTTATTGTATGTTTGTAGTTGTGTCTTCTAATTCGTTTTGTTTGGATTGAGAAGTAGTTTATCTGTTCTTGATCGTTAGTAGCTTTAAAATTGGAATCCGTGTGAAATTGCTTTCTTGTTTTATGTAATTTATTTTTTATTATATATGTCGTAAAAATTTCTAATATATAGGGATTATTTCGCGAAAGTCTGGCGAAGATTTCGACGAATGAATCGATTTTAAAGGAATTCCGTAATCTATAATAATTTTATAAATCTATTTTTTGTTCGATTATGGTAGAAACATATACGAAGAAATTATAGGCATCTTCGATATGAATTATAATATTGTATTATGGATAAATATATAGGAAAATATGTGCTAACAAAATTTTGTTTAATACTAGTTTTTCGTTTATAATATTTGTTGTTGAATCAAAAATATTCCGTATATTTGTATTTAGAAATCAAATACCTATAAGGCTTAATGATTTTAAGAGATATTGATCTTTCGCGAGCTTAAGGAGTTCAGGATTAGGTAGGTAGATCTTGGACACCAGCAATTCGATTGTTGTTAGCCAATCCTTCTGGTCCATGATGTTTCGAAACGAATCTAGGATGCTAGTCGGAATGGTGTTGCCATTCTATCCCGAATAGGTATGACGTCCGGATTGCTTAACTTAAGCTCGAAGAATTGACGTCGACTATGCGGAAGATGGCAGTGCAACCAGTGCCAATACTTATGCTTATCGGAGCCCATCCATTTCTCCGACTCGGCGACGAGCGTGTAACGAAGGCGGTAAGAAATCCCATTTCGGTCAATAGGGCTGGGGTGCCACTTGCACAATGCATCTTCTTCCGCATGGACAAGGTGAATGTCATATTAGCCAGGAGAAGCAACTTCCATCAACGTTCCAAACACATCCTTGGGCATGGCTATTGCATCCAGTGTTGCAGAAACATGGCGCCCAAGAAACAACATTCGCAGAGCTAATACAACGATAGCCCCCGTGTAGCTGCCTGCGCTAAAACCTTCAACATGAAACCTAGAGGGTAGAGGGGGCATACAACCCTTCTGAATTTGTGCCATTCCCAATGCATCACAAGTATGGCAGACACATGAGGATATGCGCAGGCTGGATCGATAAGAGCTTCCACCATAGCCCACTCAAAAATGCAGCATGAGGCACTCTGCGATGAGCTGGCAATTGTCTGGAAGCCTCCAGGACCACTTGCGTTCTGCGATACAGGATGTCCGCTCGGCCATAGCCCACCTCTTCCCAGCACTCACAGGGGTCAGCAGTGTACGACATCAACATCGCAAGCTCATGCAGACTAGTCGTATGGCCTGCAGCAACCTCTGTGCATTGCTCACCGTACCGATCTGCAGGTGCCAAGGAGGGGCCATAGACGCAAGTCCCATTTACTCTTGGGTGGGTACAATGAAACGTTGGGGTGGTTGGGCTATCTAATGTGCCTCCCCCAAGACCTCCACAGTTAATTTGGATTCGATTGGGAGGGGGTGACAGTGGGACAGTCAGCCAGAACCTGTAAGATTGCGCCATGTGCCATAGCATGGTTTCCCAACAAGGAGTCCAAGGATGAGTCTCATACATGGAGCCCAGGATTATTGAGGCTACCGTTTCGACTGGTGCCGTCTGCTCAGGGATGCGGCTGAAGGCAGCGCCCTGCAGTTTATGAAACTCTGTTTGGTCCTCTGTGGGTAGAATGCCTATGGCTTTTTGAAACATGGTTCGGAGGTCCACAGTGAGGTCTTCGTGCACCACAGGGATACCTGTCTGTTGGGCAACTTCTTGCCATGGCACAAAGAGCGCCGGCGAGCGCGCATTGGCACATGATTTTGTCCTGTCACCCATTGATCCTGAATATGGACGACAATATGTCCATGGACGACATGTCCTTTGCAGATCTGTTGGACACAAGCCAAGCTCATCTCAAGCGCCCTCGCATCGAACCGGCGTTATCTCCGGGGCAAAGCGGCTGGGAAAGGCAGATCGAAATCCTCAACCACCTCTTCTAAGCACGAAGGGGATACAGAGCTTTTGATGATGTTGGCCAAGCTGACGCTACGGCAAGAAGACATGTTGAATCAGATGGCACTGGACCGCAATTTCCTGTTGTTCCTGCAAGCAGGTCGTTGCTCGATACTGCCGGAAATGATCTTGGCTGCCAAGGAATGGCATCACCAGAGACAGAACTCAGGTGTCACATGTTCGCTCCGCCAGGTCAACTTCCTCAAGGTAGTCGAGATATTGATCCAACGCCTGACGAAGCTGAAATACGACAATCCGGAAGATCCTTTGGTCCAAGCCCTTCGCCAGAAAGGTATCTTGACAGCAGAGAATGCCTGGAATTACCTTTCGTGGGACAGTGCAGCCAAATGATTTCGACCGACGAAGCAACAGCCGCTAACACTAGAGAAGGTCCAGGAGCTCACCATCCAGCTTTCACAGTTGGCAAGCCAAGGAGACCTGATCCAGCGCTTCACAGCGCTCAAACCAATGAATCGAGATCAAATCCCGCAAGACTCTCAGGTGACGATACCATGGCGTCTCGATCTCAGTCTCCGAAGCGCAGCCTCGACTCAGCTGTTCGAGATTCTCAACACCTTGAGCGGAAGCGGGATATGCCAGTCGATCTTGCTGCGCTTGAGGCCGACCGGCCTGCAAAGATCCCCGCTTGCTACCGCCATTGTCCACCGTGTGAGACGCTGATGCGCCAACTGCTCCGGACAAAGCTTTACAATACCTCCAATGCCTGCTACATCAATGCAGCACTGATGGGACAGCCTTGGGCCACTTTGGCTTTTGAGGGTTTTAATCCTGAGCTATGGGGTCAGTGGAGGAAGCCTCTTCTTGAATTGCTCGACACCCCTGCTGGGGTGGATCTTTGTGCTGCTGTTCCATTTCAATGCCTGCTGAAACCGTGGTTCGATGAACACGTTCCCATAGAACAGCAGGACGCAGCTGAATTTTGGGGTGGCTGAGAGGTCAATACCTCCACGGCCATATTTGGGGAATGGAGTCCAATGGCTGGCAAATACGCCTAGCCAACTCCACAGAAGACCGCGGTGCTCTCCTTGCACCTTTGCTCCTTCGAATGCTGGAAGAAAAGAGATGCGTTCTGCAAATTTTGATCAACATGTGGCATGGCCAGGATCCCTTCACGAACGCCTGCATTCATGCCCATCCATGCGTAATGTGGCAACCCGAAAGATTCCCAGCACTTGGCTTGAAGCGTGATACTCCAGTGGACTTCTCTCGTGCCGAGGTCCATATACCAGTCTTCAATCATCCCTCCGGTCGGGATGTCAGCTGGCTACAATACCGAGTGGTGGCCATTATGTATCATTTTGGAGATGACCCGGACAGCGGCCACTACCAGTGTCTCTTCATCAGCTCGGGTAGCTCATGGATGACTGATGATGGAAAAGAGGCGATCAGGTGCCCAGTTGTTGATCCCATCCGCCGCTCTGCCTATCTGATCTGGATCATTCCTCAGGAAGATCTGAACATGCGGTGGCGGAGGCCCATCGAAGATTTGCACATTGATCTTTCCAACTTGCTGCCTACGGCCTTTTCCGGTGTGGCTACTTGAGCCCACCTTTTTCGACCTTTCGCATCGTGCCTGTGGCTAGATGCTCACTGAAACAACCGCAATTAGATAGCTATGCTGCCCAACACGGGCCTGACCGCACTCAGGCTGGAAATGAATGAATGAATGAATTTAATCACGAAAGGTAGCCCTTTAGGGGATACCTTGAGTTTGTCTTGCGAAGCAAGTGTTGGGACGTCCGGGTCTAATAATTGATCGCTCAATTCAGACCCCCCCCCCCCGCCCCCTTGGAATTGATTTTTCAATACAGACCCCCCTCCCCCCCTCTAAAATCAATTCTCTCCTGGAGAACGTCTTCGTGAGCCTCTCATGATTTCAGGATAGTGGAAACCCTCTTGAACATTTAGAAAGAGTGAATATGAAATTCTAATCACGAAAGGTGTTCCCCGAGGGGATACATACCTAGAGTTTGTTTTGTGAAGCACGTCAATTCTCTCCTGGGCACCGTCTTCGTGAGCCTCTTATGGTTTCAGGATAGTTCAGATTCAAATCCTATGATGTTCCGATTCAATGCTCACCGATGATCTGAGCCATGGGGCAAGTTTGTTTTCCTAAGAACCTTTTTGAACATTTCGAGAGCATATGTTTGAACATTTACAGTGCATATGAACATATATTTACGAAAGGTCGCCTCCGAGGGGATAAATCACCATGTCAAACATTGCATGTTTGTTCCTGCCTCTCGCGTTCTTTTCTCTTCCCGCTGTCCTACCTTTCGTGTCTCCCTCCTCTCAAGTAAATATTAATTGGATAATTAAAGAATCTAAAATTTATATATTAATATCTATATTATATTAATTATGTTATATTAATATTAATATTGAATCTAAAATTTTACTATATTAATATTTATTGAATATATATCCATCTTGAATTTCAAATGATTTTTGAAATATGTTTTTCTAAGAAATATATGTTTTTGAAAGACAGCATTTTTTGTATATGTTACAAACAAAAATATATTTGTGATTTGTTAAATCCTCCTTAGTTAGTGTCTTGAGATCTTTTTCGGCGTTTTGCGTGCAACAGGCGTCTTTGAATGTCCGCATCGGATGCGTCCGGATGAAGATTTAATTTGTGTCTTTTTTGGAATTTTAATC